AGGGGCTGAGGCCCGGGGAATGGAGACTTCCCCCCGAAGTGGTGGAGCTCTTGTGCGAAGAGTTCGGCCCCATAGACGTGGATCTGTTTGCGTCTCAAGAGACTACGCACTGCCCGCTATGGTTTCTCTCGTTCCTCCAGCCCCGTTGGGTCTGGACGCCATGGTACATTCGTGGCCGAGGCTACGTCTGTACGCTTTTCCCCCAGTCGCTCTGCTCCCGGGGTTCTGGAGTGGGTCCGCCAGGACAATGTCGGCCTACTGCTCGTAGCCCCGTTCTGGCCAACCCGGGTGTGGTTCTCGGACATCATGTCGCTCCTTGCCCCGCCATATGGCGACTGTGGGTCTGGCCCCTGAGGGGGCACAGTACCTAGAGGCGGGTCTAACAGCCGGAGCAGTCGAGACCCTCCTGAGCTCCAGGGCCCCGTCCACACGGAGGATGTACGGCCTGAAGTGGAGTGTTTTCTCCACTTGGTGTAGGGAGCGGTCGGTGGACCCTGTTACCTGCCCGGTGGTTCAGGTACTTGAGTTCCTCCAGGACCGGTTCTCTGCTGGTCTTTCCCCTTCCACCCTCAAGGTGTACGTGGCAGCTATTTTCCACACCCCTCTGAGGGAGGGGTCCTTGGGGAAACTTCCCTTGGTTGTACGTTTCCTCCGTGGTGCCCGGAGGATGAGACCTGCGACTCGGTCCAAGGTTCGCACTTGGGATCTGGCAGTGGTTCTTGGGGCGTTGGCTGAGGCCCCCTTCAAACCCCTGGAGTCAGCTGAGGCTAAGCACTTGACCCTCAAGATGGCCTTTCTCCTTGCTATCACCTCTCTGAGGAGGGTGGGGGATCTCCAAGCGCTTTCGGTTTCCCCGCAAAGCCTGGAGTTTGCCCCGGGGAATATTAGGGCTATCCTGCACCCTCGTTCAGGATACATCCCTAAAGTGCCTTCTTGTGCGGCAGGGTTCACAGTGCTGCAGGCATTTCAACCTCCACCTCATGTGACGGCGGAGGACGGGAGACTTCATCTGCTCTGCCCTGTCAGAGCACTGAGTATTTACACTCTGAGGTCCTCCCGTTGGAGGAAGGCTGACCAGCTGCTAGTGTGTTTTGGGTCTCCCAGGGCCGGGCTCCCTGCATCCAAACATACTATTAGCAACTGGATTGTTCAGACTATTTCCCTGGCCTATCAGGTGCGCGGTTTGCCTTCACCTGTGGCTGTGAGGGCTCATTCTACCAGAGGCATGGCGGCCTCTCGAGCCCTCCTTTCCGGGGCCTCTTGCAGGATGTTTGTTTAGCGGCTGGCTGGGCCACTCCGCACACATTCATTCGGTTTTACAGTCTTGACCTTCCTTCGGCACCTGGCACTCGTGCGCTCTCCTCTTAGTCGTGCCACTTTATTGCACACAGGGGCAGGCGGGTTTTCGGCACGGTTTAGTGGGTATCTCGTTCCCATAGTGTCGTAACCGACGCAGTTCGAGTTCCCTCGAAGGGGAACGTCTCGGGTTACGTATGTAACCCTGGTTCCCCGAGAAGGGGAACGAGACACTGCGTCGGCCCGCCGCACTTCTCTCCCCGCCTGAAGCGCCTGCTTCATAGTTAAGCTAATGATGAGTGTGTACAGGTGTGCTTTATACTCCTCCGGTTATTCCGTCACACCTTACCGTTCTAGCAACAAGCCAATAGGATTGGAGTGATTTCATTCACGTTCAGACCTGCTTCGCCTAGAGGCGTTCCCATAGTGTCGTAACCGACGCAGTGTCTCGTTCCCCTTCTCGGGGAACCAGGGTTACATACGTAACCCGAGACGTTACTGTGTGTGTGTATATCAGTGTGTGTATTACTGTGTGTGTGTATATCAGTGTGTGTTACTGTGTGTGTGTATATCAGTGTGTAGTGCTAGTTACTGTGTGTGTGTATATCAGTGTGTAGTGGTAGTTACTGTGCGCGGCGGCGGCAGCAGGAAGCAGGTTATCTCGGCCTTCAGGCTGACTCTGTGATGTCGAGCCTTTCAGGTGAAGCAGTTTGATGTTCACGCTCAGCTGTCCGTCAGACAGGAAACAGGATGAATATTCACCACCGCTCTGATGTCACACATCTGTGTTACCATAACAACCAAACCAACCCACACCAGCTGTGTCTGAAAAAAAACCCAAAACACTTGAATGCAAAAATCCCTTGAAAAAGGATTTTTTAAATGAGTAATAAACGAATTTTACGCACACACACACACACTTTACACATCGTGACCTCTGACCTGCCGGGCAGATTTTCCCTGGTCTCTGTCTGTCAGGTTCACATTTTATAGACAGCCAGATGAAATATTGAACCTCAGACTGCTGCAGGCTGTTCATATTCTTCACTTCACCAAACACAGATTTAGTCTCTGCTGGGATTTAAATAAAGTTCTGTAAGTTTGAAGATGGCAGAGACGAAGCTGCAGCCGTCTGAATAATGAATCGTGTTTGAGATTTTAATCTCTGGCTCTAATCCAGTTTTTAATATTTCTAATGTGTTGTTATCCTTCATATATTTGGATTACAGTTTATTATTTATAGTTTCATATCTGTGTGAACACCTGGCCGGATCTGGCAGCAGTTTGTAACCTGCTGAGTGCCGACATGAAGACGATGAACCAGTAACGACCAAACCTCCTGAAGCCGCTTCACAGAGTCGGAGCAGCTGAAAACACAAACAGGAAATATAATTTTATAATAACACCGAGTCGAGCTGCGATCTAGAAGAGACGCTGAAATATCAACGAGCAGTCGCACTTCTCATGATGGGATAATAAATACAGTAGATATACATTATTATTAATCATTTTATTGATCAGCGTTTTTGAATCGCCCAAGGACACTTTCCAAAACCAGGTGAGGGAAAGAGGCCAAAAGGAAAACCAAGCCATGGAGTGTCATAAAATCACCAATGTAAACACAACTGGTGTCAAAAGGTCTTTTCAGTTTGGATTTAAAAGGACCAACAGATGTGATGTGGATCGAACCCTCAGGGACAGTGTTCAGAGGTGAGGGCCCCATCTCCTACAGTGCAGAGCCGGGAGGGGCCACGGGCTTAAATTATTAAAGATTATAGGACTGATGCGCTCCGACCAAGCGCAAACCTTGTTTCTGTTTGGACTGATGTTTTACTGTCCCGGCTGCTTCACATGGTTTGTGTAGTGTTTGTTGCTGTTTTGATGTTGTTCTGTACATTTTGAACATCTTGCCGAAGGACTGCAGCTGAAAATTAGCCAGCAGTTTGTAATAAAGGAAAAAAAGATACTGCCGGGTCTGAAAGGTGAAGCCTTAAACCTGCGACCTCTCCAGCAGCCAGCAGGGGGCGACTCCAGCGGCTGCAGAAAGAAGTGTGATTGTATAGCGATGTCTAATAGCAAATTGTCACAAACAAGCTAACCTGATTGTTGTGAAATCAGCTGTTGGCTGAGACTAAATAGCCCCTCAACCAATCAACGCACAGTGATGTTATTCAAAGTTCCTCCTGTGCTGGGAGAAGAAGCAGGAGCTAAAAAAATGACACCACAAAAGTGGGCGGTTCCTCCAGCCGTTCTTAGAAAGGTTTTCCTGGACGGCGCTTCGTTCAAGCGGCTACAGCACGTTAGCTGCTGACCCACAGCAGCACCTAGCTTAGGTTCAGGGGCCATTCAGCTCTGCTTCTGCAAACGATCGCCTGCTGTGGAGGAAAAGCTTACACTGTCCCTTTAAGTTAAAGGGACCATTTTTATGCTGATGATACCATTATTTATTGTAAGGCTGCTACTTTACATCAAGCTTTTTCTTATTTACAATCCGCTTTTAACCTTGTTCAGGTTCAACTGTATCAGCTAAAGCTAGTTTTGAATGTTAAGAAGTGTCTGGACAGTCTTCCAAGTATTTTTACTATACATGGTGAGCAGATCGAACAAGTCCAATTGTACAAATATCTGGGTATATTAATTGATGATCAGCTCTCTTTTAAGTTGCACATTGATAAACTGGTTCAAAAGCTCAACTAAAGATAGGATTTTATTTTAGAAACAAGTGTTTGTTTGCTGCAACCTTTCTCATTGCACTTGATTACGGTGACCTGCTGTATAGAAGTGCGCCTGATCGATGTTTGTCTTTGTTGGATACTGTCCACCACAGTGCTTTGAGGTTTGTGACTGGATGTAAAGCATCAACACACTGTTGTACCTTGTACAAAATGACAAACTGGCCCTCATTATCAGTGAGGAGGCACAGGCTCACTTTTATTTACAAGTCTATGCTGCTCCCCTCTTATCTTTGCACTTACATTTCATGCAACATCAGTTCCTATAATTTGCGCTCCGGTAGCTTGTATTGGTTATCTGTACCTACGGTCCGTACAGAGCTCGGTAAGAAGGCCTTTAGTTACGCTGCCCCGTCCACCTGGAACACACTGCGGACTGATTGCAGTTGCGAAATCTGATTTCTTTTGATGAATTTAAACACAGCATTAAAGACTTGGAAGTAGACGCTATAAATTGTTGTCACTGCTTTTAAAATAAGTAAATCCTTTAAACCTACGGTATGTTTAAATTGTACTTTTAAGTGGTCTAATGTTTGTTTATGTATCGTAAGGGTATTGTTAATTGTTCTGTGTTGTCGTGCATGTGCTCGTTTGTTAATATACTGCTATTTTGGCCAGCTCTCTCTTGGAAAAGAGGTTTTAAATCTCAATGAGATCATCTGGTTAAATAAAAAAATTAATTAAAAAAAGGTGTCGGGGTTAGTTCAGTTCAGCTGACTGCGGGTAGGGGATCAGAGAGGGGTCAGATAAAGGCAGTGGAGGTGTTTGGGGTAGTTTGGCGGTTGGTTGTGGTGCTTGTGGGTCGCCGACAGAGTCAGAGTCACAGGTTCGAACCCTCTTAGCCAGGAACAACAAAGCAACAGAGCAGACAGGAAGTCCAACAGAAACAAGACTTTTATTTTCTAAATCATCACAGAGTGTTTAAATGTGTGTACAGTGTGTACAGAGCGTGTACAGAGTGTGTGTACTGTGTGTACATGTGTCTATGTGGGCTTGGTGAGCAGCTGGCTGGAGAAGTCGTACAGATCTTTGTTGACCTTCTTCAGCGTCTGAACTTCTTCTTCGAGCTCTGCGACTCGAACCTTCGTGTTCTCGCCGTCACCGAACACCGACTGAAACACAACACACATTATACATATATCAGACAGATAGATTTATACCCCCATCATGCATCTTTAATGGCAGCAGAGTGATGCATTGTGGGAGGATGCTCCTCACAGAAAATATCCGTCTGATAAATAAGATACAGATTAAAACCGGAGTAGCGCCGACACCCCACCGCGTCTGAATTCTAGTTTCAGTTCAGATTTAAACTTTATTAACGCCACAACCGGCTTATTTACTTTGTACCTCCATGCTCCTGCTGCTCAATCAAACATATGCCCCGCCCACTCCGAGGGCTCTAGGTTAAAGGGGTACTTCCCAGGGACAGGTGAGGGAACACCTGCAGCCCCGCCCCCCTCTCACCTTGTCAGTCACAGCGTTCATCAGCGAGTTCAGCCGGTCAGCTTTCTGCAGGTACGTCTCCTCCTCCTCCTGAGAGCACATGAAGAACATTTCAAAATAAATGTCTGAACGCTTTTGGATTTTCAAAATAAAAGAATGTTTTGGGGCGAGCAGTTCAGAGAGACGGCGCACGCTCGGGTTTTTCAGGTGGAAGAAAATTTCCTCTCTGACATTTTGTGGGTTTAGTTTATTTATTCGAGTAAAAAGTTCAGAGAGCTGGTGGAACGCAGAGAACTCGCCGCTCGTCTCCCAGCTGAGAGTCCCGCCCCTCGGCCTCAGGTATCTGGGACCACCAGGATCAGGTCTCTCTCTGAACGGGCAGAGAGCCAGAACGGCTCTTTCTCTGGTCCCCATGAAACCTGCATGAATCACAGTTTGAGGACTTTGTCCCAGAATAAGGTTTAAAAAGAGTTTCTCCCCGCAGGTTAGACTTCTGCTGCACGAGCTTTCACCACACCGCCTTCATTTACGGCTCTATGCAGAGCGCCGGGACGGGACGCCGTGAGCTCCTCCCACCTGGAATTGATGCTAAGCTAACTGAGGTTCTGGATGCAGTCAGCAGATACCGTCTCCGTTTACAGAAGGCTCGCTGCGAGGACTGCAGGTCACACCGTATTCTGGCGGACAGGTAGTGATCTGATCCGGTCACACGTGCTCCTCGCCGCCACACGATTGGCTGAAAATGTTTCCCGGCTGTTAAAAAGCAGACGATTGGCTCTCTAGTGGGAGGGATTAGTCTAACCTAATTTCAAATTAAAAGTCTTTTGGTCTGAAGGTGAAACGGTCGACAGTTTTAGTCCTGAATGCGCCTTGTCTGAACAGGATGTCAGCTTCACTACCGGGACAGATGATGGACGTTAACATCTACGAGGTTCATGCTTGTTCATTTTGATTTAAATGAAACGTGTTCACATTTAGTCAAACTGTCCCGTCGGTATCAACGCTTCACCTGCGACTCACCTGAGTGTAGGGTCCGAGTCGGACGCACACCTCTCCTGACTCGCCCCCGTCGCCCTCGGAGGCGTGCAGGTGTCGGCTGAAGCGTGGCAGAGGGATGGCAGGCCGACTGTCGGGCAGGAACATGTTAGCAGGAGCCGCCATGATGATGGCGTTCGTCACCGGACCTGAGCACACAGACAGGAAGTGAGGTCAGAGGTCCACAGGTTTCAGGACTAATGTCTGTTACAACCATAACTCATCCCTCCTGCTCACAGCCTCAGATCGACGCAGTCTGTCGGAGGAGGAGCACGGCGGCAGCGATGATGAGGGTTTTAAATCCGTCCAGCAAACTGATAAACTGTCCCCCAGGAGCCTCGGCGGGCCCCTGACCTGTGCAGGGCTCAGGAGGTCCCTAATGGACAAGCGGAATCACAATATCTAATTAACGAGAGGCCAGCATAACGAAGGAGCAGAGCCCACCAGCTTGGTCTGACCCGATCCCACCCCCTTTAAAGGAAGACCTCCTGAGCTCTCGAGGAACTCGGGACTCGTATGATCAGAGTCTGACTTTGCAAAGCAGAACTGAAATGTGTCCTTAACCGTTAATAAGAGCTGACGTCTGAGATGGTAATGTTCTGTTCTTGGAAAGCGTCTTTCAACCCTAACCCAAGTAACTGATCATCATTTAGAGTAGACATTCCTAAGACAGTCCATCTCAGTCTCTCAGAGTCCACGATGAGGTCTTCAGTCCCTAAAGAGGTTCAGAGGGACATCTTTAACTTTCTGTCCATCGAGGGATGATACCAGACTGACCTGACTAACAGGAATCAGGTGACTGGCTGAAATAAATCTCGTCTGATTGGTTGTTTCTGTCTCCTGCTTCTCCTCTTTCACTTCCTGCAGCTGCACACTAACAGACCAATGAGCCGTCAGCTGCACTGTGACATCAGCAGAATGAGGACGGAGCCTGAAGGCAGCGCAGATCAAAGTGAGGACGAGTTCCTGCAATAAGCTCAGAGAGAGAGAGACGCACTCTGGAGTCCTACCGTCACACTTTACTGAAGAAAGAGAAGTGGCTTTCTTCCAGGTCACATGACCTGCTCATAAATTCACCTCACACACACGTTAACAAACATGTCCGCCAAACATCAGCTCCTTTCCACTGGCATGAAGGCTGGTCAGGTACATGAGCTGAATTATGACCACCCGCCTAATAATGTAAAGGGCCCCTCTTCCAGACCAGCCCCGGCCATGGAGGCCCAGGTCGGTGTAGTGTGAACCAGGGGCGGGACTCTCTGGGCAACGATAATCGATGCATCTAGATGCGTCATCTGTTCTCTACAGGATCTCTGGATAATTACAGAGCATTTCATTTGCGCATTAAAATCCAAAAGAAACTTCTCCTAATTAGCTTGAAAGGACTAGTTTGCATCCCTGATTTACTTCTTTAACCTCTCAGCTCCACGGTCCCTCATTTCTTCAACAGCCAGCTGTCAGAGTGTGATGCTGAAGGCTCTGGGGGGGGGGGGGGGTATCAGAACAGAGCCGTGTGTCGACTGACTGCAGAGCAAATAAAGTCTGATTTTACTTTGAAAAACACATCCCACTTCCCCTGCTCTGACCGTACCTGCCCTCCAGGTCCCGTCCTCCTCTCAGCTTCCAGTCTGAGACATGGAGCCTGCGTGTTTCCAGTCTGAGTCATTTCCTGTCCTCCTCCTTCACCGTCTTTATGTTTCATAATAAAGTTAATCCTTTCAGCCTCTGCCTTTAAGATAACTCTCCTCTAAAAGCTGCGGCCGACCTTCACTTTATCCCGTTATGGGCCTCTTCAACTTCTGAACCTGACAGCCGATCTCTGATTGGTCCATTACTGTCAGTCTTCTACAAACACACTGTGCATCATCTGAACGCTGCATCGAGGCTCCGATTGGTCAGAAGGACCGCACTCGTTCTTTAGTCTGACGGGCAGAAAAATAAAACGACGCTGTGCAAGAGAAGAGAAACATCAGCATTTCCGTCTGCTTCCTGTGGCTTCCAGCTAACGAAGCGTCGCTGATCCTGCAGGACTGAACTCCTCCGTCCCGACAGAAACATCCTTTGAGCGGACGCTTCTTCATCCTCGTCCGTCGATGCTGTCGAGCTGCAGTTGGTATTCAGCTGAAGGCTTCAGCAGTGACACGAGGAGACGAGCTGAAGGCCGAGTGAAAGACTCAACATCAAACTTTCATCACATCTGACGGGAGAGCCAACAGAAGCTCCAGAGACCGGACTCGGCTTTAAAGAACTTCATGCTTTGAATCCGTTAGTTCTTCTGCTCCGAGATGAAGCATTCATCTTTATAAACTTATTTTCACTGAAACTGGACGAAGACATTTCGTCTGTTCAGTAAAAACACCAGAGAGGCAACGATCCACATCTTTAAAATATCAATCGACCCGTCAGACGGAGACACATCTGATCAGGGGAGGGTCGCTTTACCTGCCAGGTGTCGCTGAAGCCCACGATCATGGACTTCATTAATTTCTGATTCCCTGTGAAATATTAAAGCTGCTCCACTTCTGATGCGTCAGTCAAAGATTTAAGCAGCTCTGAGGCTCTGCTCTGTTCTCTGAAGGTACCAGACATTTAGTAGTCCATACCGGCGAAATGCCACGAGTCAACACCACGGTAAAAAACAAAGCAATAAATCCCATCATGCACTTCAACAACACAACAGAAGAACGAACAGTGTGAGGGAGAGGACGTCCAGGACAGATGATGTCTCTATATTCAGAAATTACAACCTGCACTGTTTTTCAGTAAAATAACTTTTCTTTCCAAACTCTCAGCTGTGAAATGTTTCAGCTGGTCTCCGTCTGCGCTGGCAGATTTTTAGTTGACTGAAATGGAGCGTATTGATCTTTTCAGACGGCCCCTAACTCCTCCTGCAGTGACAGGAGCGTCGGACACGGGCCCTGAGGTCAGCGTCTTACGTCAGTTCACTGCGGTGAGAGCGCCGTGTTTTTACAACATGGCAGCAGCGTGACGAGGCGCTGAGCGTCTTTCCACGCTGGACGCAGAGAAAGGTAGAAAGGTAGAAAGAGAAATTCAGGCTTTGACACGGAGCTGCAGCTGCACCGGTCGCCATCTTCTAGGAAAACAGGACCGACGTGTTTTCAGAACTCTGTTGTCGACCCGGAACCAAAATTTCTAAATTTCAGTTCTCGCTGCGATGTCAGCAGTGACGTGGACTGTGGTGATCCAGGAGCTGAAGCTCTGGATCTCTGGTCCAGCTGTGGTCCTGGTCTCGGTGTAGGCTGGAAGCGAAGGCAGAGCCGCTGGTATTCGCCCCCACAGAGAATCACTCTGATTCTGATTAATGAACGTCCTGATGGTTTCAAACGGCAGCCTGAGGGCGGTCAGTCTTTCTGAGGCGGCCGCACCGAGCCGGGTCACTCGATCCTGCACCACGTGGCGCTGCCTTCAAAGGGGGTCAGCCATTCTCCTCCAGCACAGACTAACAGCCGGCTGATGTTGGCTACTGAGCTGAAGAGAACAGACAAGTTTTCCTTCTGCTGCCTCTTTGTAAAATCATCTAAATCGTCCCTGACAAGCTGTTTTTACTCCGAAGCTTTAAATCCTCCTGAACATGAAAACAACATCAGGTGTTGATGAACGGAGCCGTTTAAACCTGCGACAGCTCAGCCTCACTTCAATCTCTGGAGGAGAAAACATTTTCCTTCCTCCAGCTTATCAGAAGAAAGCCGCAAAGAGCGAGGGGCCCCTGATCTGCCGTGTATCAGTGAATCAGAGCCGAGCCGCCGCCTGACGCTCTGCCAGACTCATTTCACGCCAACAAAAGCTCCAAATCACAACACGTGGGAGTCGTGAAAGACACAACCTTCAGTCCTCCCAGAAAACACTGCTCTCCCTCAACAATACAAGCCCGTTCCACGTCTCTTCTCCCGCCCGCGGCGCCGAGCCCCGGCCTGCTGCCACTCCAACTTCCTGTCTGGGGATTCTCCAAATTAATTTCTTTTCAGATTACCTCCAGGATCCATTTAAGATGACAAGCTGCTCGAGGAGCAGGAAGATGTTTGAGGTAATGACAGAGAGAGAGCTGCATCACGGTCATTAAAACAGGACGCGGCGGATTCACGCGCTGGAGATGACAGCTGAGCAGGCGCGGCAGGACGACCATTCTGCTCGCATGCGAACCGGAAAAACGATTTACAAGCACAACGTGCGAGTAACCGAGTAACTGCAACGAGCGAGCCGGATATTCAGCGGCGTCAGGAGCCTTTTGTTGAAACATGTGCAACTTTTCATAAAATCGACGTGCTCATCAATTTCACTTTTCATCAACAATCACCGCCTGGACGGGACATAAAAAAGGTCGACGTGCTGCAGTAAACTTTCAGATGTGTAACTCCTGCATCAGCGGTTGTGATCGCAGCTTTAACAGAGTCAGAGAGCGAGGTCGGCCATTGTTCTTACGCGGTGAGCTGTACAGTCGGCCAGTCTACTTTAAGCCTACATAGAATCACAATGCATACAGTAAAATTCTATCTGAACGTATTAACAGCACAGAATTAGACTCAAATGTAACTTTTTATCTAATGTTATAATTCCACACTCATTTAAACTAGTTTCTCCTCCGTGTTGTGGAGAGGACGTCAGGATGTGCTGCTTCTACCTGCCTCCTCCTGTTTTACTGAAGTTACGGTAACGCTGCTCTCTAGTCTTGTTTCCATCAGGTGTGGGAGCTGCTGCTGGATCGTGAATCCCAATCACAGACAAGTTTTTTAAGATGACTGACCAGTGTTTTAAATGTCTGTTTCAATATTTTAAAAGGCTTTGACTGAACTGAGTGTCCAGATATCAGGGCTTCACTTCCACAGTCCTCTGATGGTGTCACGCCACAGTGGAGCGCACACGCACTATAAATGTGTGTATAATAAACAGTTTGTTAAACTCAGTCGTACTCGAACGTTTTTCACTGTAGCGTGGAGCCCTGCGCAGTGCAGCTTGTTTGTGCTGCTCCTTATCTGACCCAACGGTTGTTGCGGCAGCGCCCTCTAGGGGCCGCACGATGGCAGCAAAGGAGGAAGTCAGGTGACGGATTATAAACAGGCATATAGTCCATATAAGGAGGTGGCGGGTCAAAGCCCGGACCGACACACTGTGACCGCTTCACAGCATTAAC